TTACGTTGAGGAAGGGTAACCGATTGTTGATTTCCTCTTCCATAGTAAACTCGATATCAGGGAAGATGGAATTTAGCAGTGCCTTGAAAGCTTGCACTTTGCTCCTTTTGATGACGATGAAAGTGTCGTCGGCTTATCTGACCCAGCACTTCGGGGGAGACGAGCTGAAGACCAGCCGCTCGAACTTCTGCAGAACAGCTTCGGCAATAAGGCCAGACAGAGGCGAGCCCATTGGTGTCCCCTTACTTTGTTCGTAAACTTGGCCATGGAACGGGAAGAAAGTTTTTAGACACAGTTCCAGGAGCTCGATGATGTGCACTCGTTTGAGCTTTTGGTCGGTTTCATCATATTCCTCTTGGAGAACATTGTCAGTAATCTTTATGGCCAGATTGGTTGGAATAGAGGTGAAAAATGAGATTAGTGAACTTTCTCTTTTACTCTGTCAAACCCTTTTTACTTTGTCACTGAAATTCTGTGAAATCGCTTTGTGCAGTTAGCCTTTTACCTGCTTCCACTTAATGATGTTCAGTGCGATTCATTTGGCCACTATCAGTTATGCATTTCTGCGAAAATTCCCATTTTACGATTGAAAAGTCGTATTGGCAAACAATTTTTTCGGTCAGTCATCATCGGGCCGGTACGTAAAATGGGAGATAAAAATGGTCAGTTAATTGCAGCGTTTATATACTCGTCAGGTTTGGGGGAGGAAGGGGGTTAGTCAGTGAGTGTGTAATTAAGCTTCTGGGTTTTCCCTCGTCTCCTGAATGCGGGCGCCCGTGCGGGTATGACGTTTGTTGCGATGCGCAGAGAAGACGGGGGATGTTCTCATGGTCAGCGGGTAGAGGTCTGTATTCCAACCGCGTAGCTTGCGCTTGACTGTTCTCTGTGGCTTCATTTTGTGTGTTTTCGGATGAAGTGGCTTCAAGAGGTGTGGGATTTTCGCGTGCAGTCGACCAAGGGAGGCAGATTGTTTGTACCAGCGCCTTTTGACAGCATAGAGTGGGTTTTGCTAACCGGATTGCCACTGCTACCACACCCGTTTGCGCAGGCCTTTGGAGTAGTGCGTTGGCATGCGGTATATGACCCGATAGACTTCTCTCGCGTCCACTTGGTAGCTCGTATCACCTCGCCCACCTCGCTTTGTGAAGAAGAAGTGCCGCTGCCTTCTTGCTCTGTGGGTTTATTCAAATAGTGTGCTCATTATCAGACGAACACTAGCAGCTCGTGTTGCATACAAACTGGAACTGGCTCCTTTCGTATTCTGTGGTGGGCTACTTCAGCAGGTCGCTAAAGGCGCTTCCAATCCCAGTTGACGTTCTAATCACAGTCTTTGCTGTCCTTAGCTGTAATCGAAATTTCGCCACCACCTCAACATGCCGACTCGGTTTTTTAAATTCTTTTTCTCCGTTGGTTCAGTTCTTTGAGATTTATAACGACACCTATCTGTATTTGCTCTCCCCTCCTCTAGGGTCTTGTATCTGCGGCTGGAGACGCGAACCCTCTTGCCTCGGCAGCAGCAGCACAAATTCTCGGTTTCCTCGCATATAAGGTACCCCCCTTCCTTCTACTCTTTCTGAAACCACGTCATGCGGTATTTGCTTAAACCAGTTCCAGAGAGCACACGAACGCAGCCAGTCCGACAGTCCTAAATATACAGCGTTTTAAATTTGCGAACATTTTCGTTGTAAATATCAAAAAAATAACGTGGTAAGCATACGTTTGCTTTCAGCAAATCTTCCTCAGGCCTTTCAATAAATAAACTATGCGGGTTGATGGAAAGAAGTAGTGTTTCAGCAATAGAAGACGACTCGATCGCTGGGACAATATGTTTATTCGCCTGACGTTTTGAAATCCCTCGCGGATTCATCATCGGAGACATACTCACAGAACGGTAGCAGAAGCAGTTTGTGTGTGCACAGGGTTCTGCCGTAAAATTTAAACGT